TTAACGATTCAACACCACCCATTACGAATAGTGTTAAATTGTAATTCTTTAATATTTTCAACTGTTTAGTTACAGCGTTACGCCAAACAATTTTCAATTTTGTCAAAATGTTTTGTATAAAAATCCCCGTTTTTCTCGACACTTTTGAAAATTACTGTGAATTTTCAAATTTTACCTTTCACTATATATTTATTATTTACACTCCCATAATATAAAATTATAAATTTGTTTAAATTTAGAGATCCTTACTTTGCGTTCAATACTGAATCCTCTAGATGTAGGTAGGTATACGGTACGTTGATAAAAAGCGTAGGTAAGCAAAGTTATTACCTGTTTCRCCAAATCTTTGGTCAGCCGATATCGTTTTATAAGATTACGGTCCGAKAAATCTAAATAAATAAAAATATAATATAATAGATGCATATGATAATTTAGTATAATAATGGTATAATAATATAATAGTATAACATACGACATAAAACATAATTGTATCTCATATGCATATTAAAGACGAGATAGTTAAGGCCGACTTCAATGTACCTATTTACCAGAATAAAGAATTTTTTTTCCAAATTGTATAAGCATTTACGGTAACATTCCTATAGGCTATAATATGAAGCACATATGTTTAACCTAAGTCCTATCCATGAAAATGTATGCACACACGACATACCTCTAATCGCTATATTTATATAGATTAGGTATACGATATTTCGGAGAAATATACACATCTATCTTATAGAAGTATAACTTCAYCACCTCGCGTTAAATAGGTTTAAAAAAAATTTCYAACTTACCTATAAAAKRATCTACTGCTTTATGTTCGTGCCCAGGAGTAGCATTAGCATTTTCCGCAATTTGTTAGAGGACGTCCACGACGGCAAACAATTCATAGGTATAAATCTAAATCRTCCATTTTTTTTTTGTTWAATTTTAAATTTTTGAAGGCAAAAAAACRAATAACCACAAAAACTTAAAAAACACTTTAACACGTGTAAACTGTTAACAAGTCACTTAGTCACGGGTAGGTGTACTCATAAACACGGTATATAAGTACACTATAGCTGTACGAACGTGAGATTGTTAGCGTCTTATTGGCTTATTGCAGTGGTTTGAAAAGTCATTTTTAAATCTAATATATTTTAAACAATAAATATAGTAAATAACTAAAAATTAACAAGTTTTAGTACATGGTTATTACCTACTTAAATTAGATAACCATAAATCCATTAAATTATATAAACCATTCTTTTTTTAATTATAAATGGAGTAAACAATTTTATTTTCCTTAACAAAATTGATAAATGTTCATAGTATTTCTTAAGAAAATAATTTTAAGTGTACCTATCTAAAAATGTTATAAAAAAATTAAAATAGGTATATAATATTTAAAAAAATCTTTGTGTCATATTTAAAAATTGTACATCTGAATTAGAAATATTAACCTATAGTTAAGTCTTAAAAATATGAATTTGATTTACGAAAATAAAAATTATCTTAAAAAAATTCAAAAATTGTTGATACCTATGATACTGAATTGAATTTAAAAAAAATTATGTCAGATTCGGATTTGTTGCCATCGATACATATATATTATGAACTATAATGCACCTATATTTAATTTAATATCTAATAAATAAAAGATCAGTTCGCGTGTTCAGCGCAACGGAGACGGTCGCACATAGCAAAGTCCATCTGCACAACGATAACGTCTCTATCGTCACAAATCGAATATAAGCAAACAAAATAAGGTAAGTGAACTTAAANATGTTATATTAAAAAATTATTATTTAAAGTTGTAAAGTGCGTATAATTAATTTATATTATAAGTGTGACATATCGTTTTTAAATTAAAACTATTTAAACTAGTTTCGAGTTATATTTTAAGACTACGTTAGTTATATTTTAAGGCTACGCTTTTATTAACTTACAACTTCAATGCATACCTACACTAAGCTGAAACGCACGCTACGCCACTGGTATATAATATTTAAAAAAATCTTTGTGTCATATTTAMAAATTGTACATCTGAATTAGAAATATTAACCTATAGTTAAGTCTTAAAAATATGAATTTGATTTACGAAAATAAAAATTAGATAAATAAAAATTATCTTAAAAAAATTCAAAAATTGTTGATACCTATGATACTGAATTTAATTTTAAAAAAATTATGTCAGATTCGGATTTGTCGCCATCGATACATATATATTATGAATTATAATGCACCTATATTTAATTTAATATCTAATAAATAAAAGATCAGTTCGCGTGTTCAGCTCAACGGAGACGGTCGCACATAGCAGAGTCCATCTGCATAACGATAACGTCTCTATCGTCACAAATCGAATATAAGCAAACAAAATAAGGTAAGTGAACTTAAAATAATGTAAACCACRCCAAACCTACAATGAGCGTTAATACTAAATCGCCCACAAAAAAGGGCCAAAACAACTTCTTTGCCACTAAAGCACCTTATAATCTACATCTCAACAACAAAACAATCAAAACACCTAATAATAACCTAAMGATCACATCTAAAACCTCAAATGCCAAAACCAACTCAACTCCACAGCTCAACAATAATCCAGACCAATCYACACCAAAACAAACACCTTCAAACTTAATAACCAATGAAAACCAAATTTCATTCGCCAATGCARCAGCTAAAACTTGAAACCCAAAAAAAGAACAAGCGATAATAATCGAAATAACTGATGACATTCAACRCCAAACCGGAAAATATAGTATTCATGTCACGCATATCTAAAGATAGATTCTGCATATTCCTATCATTGGTAGATCTGGTAGACAGCGTAGTTAATCRCCCAACACCAATAATAATTAACGAAAAACCAATTAAAATAAGAAAATACTTTAACCCCGATAAAAGAATAAGTATATCAAACGTATGCCCAACAATACCAAATGAAACAATTCTAAGTGAACACAGCAACATTGGTATAAACCCTACCAGCCAAAYAATTCATCTCAGAGCCGGCGTCAAAAAAGGTTTTGGACACATCCTTAGTTTCCGAAGACAAATGTTCGTATCCACAGAAACCATCATAAATCTCCCTAATTCCTTACTTATTAATCACGAAGGAACTAATCACAGAATTTTTTTTCGGATGATTCACTAACTTGCTTCATATGTAAAAAAATTGGTCACACTTCCTCCGTGTTTCTCATATTACTAAAACCAAATTGTCTATGAAATTTGCTACATGATTTGTTATTGAATCTATAAGCTACAATCATATGGATATTCCCATTTGACATACATTAAAATAACAAACAGTTAATTAGATATAATTTTTTTTTATTTAAAGTAAGATACGATTGTAACGTCGGCTGGTCCATACAAGTTTTTTTTAAACATTTTTYTGCAACAGATGACACTTCTATATTATAAAAACAAAAACGATCTAAGCCCACAGCAGTGCTCCAGGCCAAGTCAAAAAGCACGTTGTATTAGCTATTGTATTTTACATAAATTTTAAGTTCAAGTTTTATTATTTTTGATCGTATAAGTGCATACTGCAACATGATTCCTTACCTCCTATACTATTATAAGTATAACAATACMTACCAGACAGCCGTTACCAGTTATTAACCACTGATACTTTAGGTAACATATAATATTTGATAAAATTAATTGATTAAAATAGCTCATCATGATGTGTTAAAGATAGAAAAATTTATAAATTTATGCAATTTTCGATACATGTCTCTGGCGTCTATGGTCTTAATATTATCTTAGAACTTGATGATTAAAACCCTTTTTGGGGATCTTATCTAAAAAAAAATGACTTTTAAGGATTCCAAAGGCTTCACTGCGGTTTTTGCTTACTCTTAAATAATATTTATTCAATATAAAATAATTTATTAAATTACCAATTTCGGGTAGTTTATACCATCAAACAAACTATGCCAGCCTAGACCCTGACKACATCCCAGCTGAACTTATAGTTCCGTGGTTTTGTGTAGACAATAGATACTTAAACCTAATCTGTACTGTATTAAAAAAGTTGATTTTTTTCAAAGTTAGAATTAAAATTTGGCAGTTGTCTCATAGGAATTTTTTTTTAGTCAATTAAATCTATTAACTATTGCTTACTTAAATATATATATATATATCAATAGCATGATACAATAACTCAGATGTAAAGTTATTCAAAGCAATAATGACTGCATAGTGCATAATATTTGATAAGTGATAATATTTCAGAGTATTTATTATTTATTATTTTTTCTGATTTTGGAATTTACGTTGTTTTTGGATTTGAAAATAAAGCAACTCGTATTATAATGAGTAACATAATATCGATAAGTTATTCATATTCCCTAGGGGCCTAGGATATCACGTGTTGTGCTTTGTATGTTATATGCTAACTATAAATTATATTTTAATTCTGAATGGTGATTCATACTTAAAATTCAATTATACATAAGGCCGGTACCACMAGTAGTTTTATATKGATCTAAGACATGTACCTTGACAAAAAGTAAAAAATCAATAGTCACAGTGTTTTTATCAGATGACACTTAAAATAATTTATGGACCTTGTGTCGACTTTAAAACAAGGTAATGAAAAAAACGCCATAACGAAGAACTAATGAATCTGTTTCAACAATCAGATATAGTAGAAGAAATTGGAAAAAAAAGATAAACATTTAAGTAGGTGAATAAAAATGTTCATTAAGAAACCGGTTGATAAAAGCTTGTTAGGAAAACCACACTTCAAATGGCAAAACATAATTAAAAAGGACGCAGAAGCAGTATAACCGAACAGACTGTGAAGAGAATTAGCAATGGATAAAGAGAGATGGCGGTAATTATTTTTAGAGGATTGGTCATAAAGACCGATCCCAGAAGAAGAAGAATGTATATATACTATTATACACATAATATAATTAAAATAATTTAATCATAAAAAAAAAAACACGGTAAATATACTTTAAATCCCATACGGAAGCATTTATTAACATTTTTTTTTTCTTAGGCTAAGATAATATTCTATACGCAATAAATTTATTTTAAGGATAATTACGATTTAATTCAAAATGTAATACCCAACCGGTGCCGGCATTGTGTATGGTTGTCACGTAACGAATGAAAACTGCTCCCGTTTGGCTRATGTGCGTTGCCGGAGTATCCTAAACAAACGAACAAAACTGTCTAAGTAACCATAATGTATAGGGTGACATAACATTAATATTGGTTGGAATACGAAAACAGTGTCAACCATAGTTATATTTTTATCATAGTACTCACTCCACCACAGTATTTAGCAACAAACGACGACACTCCCGTGATCTGATCGACGTTGTGCATTTCTAAATAATCAGTGTCACATGTTGTTCTTGAACCAAGATTAAAAACTAAATTTTAAAGAACAAAAYCACATAACGACATATTAATCAGATAATATAATTTGAAAAAAAAAACACAAATAAAAATTTGTTTATTGGTTTTAAATTGATTAAAAATATTGTTTTTGCTAATAATATATAGGTAGTTGATATACAGTAATTACATATTTTAAAACTATTAAGCTACATATACGAGGGGKTATTAATGTTAATATTTCACACCTTTAAATGAAACCTTGACTGAATTCGGTCTGGGTACTGCAATATCCCACCTGCACGTGGAGCTCACTCTGTATAATTTAGGATACATTGGACTTGTCACCGTGCCTTTGACATTAAACATTTTACCACCGCAGCCTCTACCTATATATTTAAACACCAATAAAAGAAACACTCAAATACACGTAATATCGTTATAAACTTTTCGGTCGCACCTTGGTCTGTGGAAGTGTAACTCATGTCCAACAATCCTGAATGTGGATACGTTTTATACGCCATCGTTAATGTCGAACCAGTTGAGAATACAGGAGGAGGAATCAAACGCACATCGTTCAATGTGGTTACCAATGGTGATAAAATAGTCGGCCCGTCGTACACCTGAAATACAATTGTGATTGAGATTCTAAGCAGATTTTATTGTTAATACACTGAGTTACCTTGAGGTAATTCGATTTAGCCGGACCCGAAAAATGAAATGATGAAATGTAAAGAGAAATAGTTAAGTTCGACTGTACTAAACTTATCGTGAATACACACTCCTCTTCTCTCGCTATATCACCGTCACTAAAAAGTATACGTCCATCACGTTTGTCATAAGTTTTTTGGCAACCTATATACGTAAATTTCAACGTGAATAATAATTTCAATAAAATCAATTATAGATACAGTCAATACAGTGATTAATGACATGGATACAGTCAACTAATCTATAATSAGTAATATTTCATTTTTTATAACTTACTTGTACTTTTATACTCAAGTCTAAAACCTTTTGATGTTGTTTTGTCGTCTGTATGAAGCCTTAACTTAACAGAATTTGTTATTTTATCCACAAAATCAAATGTATGATTTTCGTGACACATTCGTATAGTATTGGAATATGAAGTATCCACCCACTAAACAAATGTTTAATAAATGTATATTTGAGGCATTAAAATATATTAGTTATTAATATACCTATACCATATTATCAACGCTATTATAATTTTTAAGTACCTCCAGGAAGTTATAAGAGTTATTAAAATATTCTATTTACTAAATAATATTCAGTAGGTACTAAGATATATTCTAAGTAATTGTGTAAAATGTATCCAACATCAATTTTATARTATAAGATTCAACATTTAGTTTCAATATTTTACTGTTTATGGTTGTACCCAAAATCCAGAAAAATTAAACCTATTGTTTGATTCGAAACCAATTATGTATAACAACGTTGAATAATGAAGAACTAACTAGTAGTAATCTCATAAGGAACTTTAAATTTTTTAAATACATTTAAAATTAAATAATAAAACTATGATTTAAGTTTATTGAATAGAAAATTTAGCTGATTTACGGGCAAGCGTTTTTGTATAGGTCTGTGATATAAAATATTGTAATGGAATGAGAATAATACGAGTTTTCCTGCTTTTTTTATCGAATCCCATGTCTATAGTGTCTACCGTCATAATATGAACTAATTTCCAAAAACTTCGAGATCCAATTTTAAAATGTAAAGCCACTAGAAAAATGTATTTATATCAACTTAAAATACTATGCAATGTATTTAATAATTCAAGATGTATTAACAAAATATTTAATTATACGGTCATAAATTCACAATTATTTATTTTTTTAAGTAAGTCTTCAAGTGGTATTCTGTGTGTTGATAACATATTTTCCAATAAAAATAATAAACATTTGCTTAGAATTTTGTTTTAATTTACATACCATTAAGTATTTTAATATTTGTATGTTTACCTGTGTGTAATGTATTTCCAAATAATCAGACACACAGTCTTTGGTATTTTCCAAATCCAAATCCGTGAATCGTAACAATATAATTGTATTTGGTGGTTCCAATTGTAATAACCAAGTACAAATTAAATTATTTCCGTATGCTAATGGATAGTTCGGGGACGTTAAAACTTGTGTTTTATTAGTCACCATCAATAAAGTCGAACCACAAACCGCTGTTTTAAAAGAATCACAAATATATTTTAATAATTGTATTTTATTATTTAAACTTCAGATAAATTACATGTCACTGGTGTTAGCTTTATCTCAAAATTAACATCTACGTCTGAATCAATGTATGAGTATCTAATAAAAGCTTCACTTCCAGACGATAATAATGGTGCATAATCGATATTTCCTGAGCAATATTGACGGATTTTTAACGCCTTACGTCCAGGACCGTCGAAAAACTAAAATAAAAAACGTTTACGTTAAATTAATATTTTTAAATGAAATATAACATCAAATATACTTTTGAAATCCACAAATTCCATAGTAAAACTAACATGAGTAACTTCTTTTATAATAAATTACAGATATTTCAAATAATTTATAAAAAAATAAATATTGTCCAGTTATAAGTATGGATAATTTAAACTTAATCTTTTAGCAATTAAAATTTTTTTTTCGGTCATTCATAGATTTCCATAGTTTATGACTCATAACTATATAAAGTTATGAGTAAGGCTTTCGACTTATAAAACAAAGCGTCTTCGACGATCTAACGCAGTTTGAAGTACATCGGTGATGACTGATGGCTGATCAATGAAATGTGGCTTACGATGTACGTTTGGCCAGCCCCCCTCCCCAAGACAATCTATAAGCAAACTATACAGATATTTAGCACATAATTCGCACGAATTCACACGCCTAGTTTGAAAATTCGCACGACCTTCCTTCTCCTCGAAAAACAAAAAAATGCATGGGGGTACATACATTTATATAACTATTCAGTCTTGTAAAGTACCTATTCGAATAAAAATATTTGAATATTTGTAATAAAATACATGTTAAAGTATAAATACCATGTTAAATACCATAAGTTTGTTTTAATTTGACATAGTAAGTAAGGAGTYACAAATTTTGAAATGTGTTTAATAATATTGAGAAATAMTTATACAAAAATTATATATGTTAATAATTCATTAAAAAAATAATCAATTAATTTTTGTTATATTTTTAATCATTCTTGATTCATTTTTATTTTTAATTGTATTAGTATTTAGTTGATCATGTTTATTTCTATTTAGATTTATTTAATTCAATCAAGATTTTTTTATTTAATACAGATTGTTTATTCAAAATAGATTATTTTTTACTAACTACAGGTGTTTTACTAAGGTTTTTTTTATAGATTTTTTATTCAACTTGACTTTTTTTAGGTTATACACACTTTTGTAATATTAAATATTTTTCTAAACTTACCATTATAATCTTGATTTAATAAAAAAGCTTAATTGAATAAAAAATCTATAAAATAAGCCTAAGTAAAACACCTATAGTTGATAAAAATCAATCAATTTTTAATAAAYAATCTATAATTAAAAAAACTGTATTCAACAAAAAAATAAACTAAGTTGAATAGAAAAAATATAATAACCATATGTAGTTTATATAATTTATTCGCTAATTATTTTTATCGGCATTTTCTGAAGATCATTCAACATTACAAATATTTCGACTTTATTTTCGGTAATTAAATATACTTTTTTTGTACAACAAGGCTTTTTTTTATTATATTTTAATATTTTATATTCGTTTAAGATTTTTTATTAAAAATATATTTTTATACAAATGWTTTTTTCATTTTTTATTTAATTAACATTTTTTTATTCAAATATGATTTTTAATCTAATTTCAATTAAATTTTATTAATTAAATTTAAATATTTTTATTAATTAAAAATTTTGTTATTCAATTATATAAAATTTAGTTTTTTTTATTAAATAATATAGAATTTTTATTTAATATGGATTTATCTTATTAAATATAGATATTTTATTCAATTAAGATTTTTTTAAACTATATATTATTTTTTATTGAATTTAGATTTTTAAAGATATTTTTTAGATTGATAAACAGTTGGAAAATACTAGTAAATCTAATTTTGAAGTTGACAAATTAAAAAAACATAATTTCAAAATAAAACATATTTTTTTTATTTAATGCCAGTTTTGTTTTAATTTAAATTATTAAATTTGACATCTTCAAAAACAGATTTACTTGTATTTTCTAACCATTCGTTTGTAATGTGATTGTTTTGAGACAATCGGGAATGTAAGTATACCAAAATGCATAATATAGGCCAAAAAGCAGCCTTTTGAGATTCGATTTACATCARTAATCACTGAAGACTCGTTACTTAAACAAAGCATTTCCACATTTAAAGTTAGACTACCAAACAGTAGTACCAATAATCATGAATATTCGTACCAACATTAAAGAACACTACTTGCATCCACCAAAGACTTAACAATCTAGACCTTCTCAAACTTTTTCATAAAGATGGTTAGATTAGATTAGGTCCCATGGCCTAGAGCACTTGTTAGTCACTAATAAAAAGTCAAACCAGCTAGTAGTAAAATAAAACATCAATAATGATTTCTAACCTGTAAAGAACTGCATCTACAATCTGTTACATTTAAAGAGCATTTTGGAGTTTCTGTGTAAGTGACCACTTGCATCTGTACGACGTACGAGGGTTCTAATAGTATTAACCATCCACAATCCAAATAAGTTTTTACTGACATCTTTGGTACTTTAAGTGTATACCCAGGTGAAATATTTGATTGGTTCAATCTGATAGTACCTCCACAACCTTTAGATTCACCTAAAAGATAAAAATAATAAAATACATTTTAACATATAAAAAATATATATTTGTGAGTGTGTGTATGTTTTTAACTATATGTATAATCTATATTAAGCAAATGTTCAAACATACATAAATTAATGAAAAGTAAAATTTTCGTTTCAGTTGAAATATAAAAATCTAAAATGGTTTACCTACCATAAGTAAATGAAATTTCGCCAACAAAACCTTCATCRCTAATTGAAGCATCAGTAATAAAATTAACGTACATAGTATTTGTCTTAGACTTAATTTCTGGTAGTCTATCATCTAAGACTCCACAAAATTTTCCAAGGCCTCGAGAATTGTTAGTTTTTAAATCAGATTCGTCAAAAATATTGACGTAATCGTCAGGGCATCTTTCTTCTTCGGAGGCTTCATCATCATAATCTGCTTCTAAGCGGAATTTAGTAAAACTGTAAAAACCATAAATTCTGTAACTTTGTCAATAAAAAAAAAAAACCTAATTGCATATTTAAACATACACAAGTTGTACAACTTGATCTGGTGGAGCTCGAATAATCCATGTGCAGTTTGCATTACGTGGATATCCATAAATACCAAATGACTTATCAAAACTAATCGAGGATTTAATTAATCCCGGAGAAGTAATTTCACTTCCACATCCTATTAACAATGAATATAATATGTRTAGTAACAATTCAAATGAATACACATTTTTTTTTATGTTTTTATAAGCAAAAATAATAATTAGTAAATAAATGAAATAACAATACCTAATTTTATCCGATTGGAAACGAATATTAATAGATTTTTGTTTTAATGAATACAAACCACAATAGTAGTAAATAATAAATAAAATATTATTTCTTGATTCTTTATCATTAGATTACTTTGATAATTTTCTATGATATACGTGATAGTCAATAGATAAAAATACACGGCTAAAACATGTCCGGTTAATATCAAAGAAGGATAATGTAAGAATATTTAAAATTATTTTCTCTATCATATATATTTATTAAAATCCAAAAKGCATAACATTATGATAATTAAAAATGTTCTGAATATAATAACGAATATCTCAGAATCAAAATTCTGTTTAGCGTTTAATCAAATAAAGTAAGTTCTAACGCACRTCATTAACAATTATGTAAAAGTTAATATCACGGAACAATTAACGATGAAATGAGTAAGTACGAATTAGTTACATTTGTACAAATAATTAATAATTTATTATTATTATTATTATTTTATTATTGATTTATAGCCCAGCAATTATGGCCATTAGCTGTTTGTAGGGGAAACAATTGGTTTGGAACACGTACTGTATGTGTAGCAAGAATTTTGTTGCAGATACCACACCATACCGAACCACAATATTATTAATTTTTTTATAACAATGTATTTGATATTTATGGTACAGGTTATTTTGTAGCATATCATATTAAATCCAAGATCAATTATTATCACAATGTATCATATTTACCGGATCAAAAAAGCTTAGCACAAAAATAAATATTCCTATATTTAAAATCAAATAGGTCCAATATTTTTTAAATAATTATATACTTACAAATTTACAATCGAGATATTATTGCAATAAACAAGGGTCTAAAATGTTATTTAAATTTTTAGTTAGGTAGTTTACGATTTACCTTGAAATTCATAATGTATTTCAAATCCTTTTTTTCCTATAGAGATGTCTGACATAAATATCATCATGATACTATTCACAAACGTAAATGTGCTCGGTGGATAATCTCCACAATAGGTTCCAATGGCATGTTTTGTTTTATCATCAAATGTACCTATCTTGTCATATATTGTAAGATTGTCATAGCGACAATTGGAACCTAGATTGGAAAAAAATTAACCATTCAGTATTTTTTGTGTAACATTAAATTTAATACTAAAATGTACGAGAACATCTAATGACAGGGTATATTGCTTAACTACTTACAGGTTAATTTTTACGTAGAAATTAACGTTTTTATAAACATATAATTGCCTGGTTAAACATTTTAATCCGAAAACGATAATTTATGGTAATCATAATGTAATTTTAATATTAATTATTAAACAATATATATATTTTTTTTACTTTAATGATAAAATTAGATAAACTAAAATAAAATTTAATTTAATTTAATCTCCAAGTACCTATAACAGCTAAGTTATAAAAGGCAAGTATAATATATACATTCAAATAATTTATTATACGTTATGCAACTCATCATACAGTTTCATATTATGTAAAAATATATCGTATATAAATACGAGTTTATTGAAATAGTGGATATTATACCTGAATTTTCAACCATGATAAGTTTTAACGTAGGTATAACATAATAAATAAAAGTTTTTTCAATAAGTTTAGATGTACAGAACGGTTTCTTTAAAATAATAATAATTTGTATAATTTAAAAAGCATCATAGAAATAATGATATGTAACAGCTAAAATAGAATAATATCGCATGTCGGTATTATTACTTAAATATAAACTATAGGTTGCTTTTCACTTGAATTCTGAACTAAAAGATTAGTGCATTTAATAAAGAATTAATTTTTCATGAATATTTGTAGGTATTCATTGTTTGGATGCCTACCTTCTAGATCGAATGATTTAAAAGTCAATTCTATATTTTCTCCTTGTGATAAAATCGTGTAGTTACAAATCATATTGTTTGAGTATTTTGCAGGATAGTTGGGTGAAACAATTTTTCCAGATTTTTTAGTAAAAATACCACCACAAACACTCTTCCAAATGGCCTAAATAATAATATATTATACATTTACATAAAGTTATTTTAAAATCAAAATAAATACAACTACTTACTTTAAAACCATCGCCTTGTATATCACCATCAGTTCTTATRCGAATTTTAAGCTTTGTTTCCGATGAGTTAAATATAAGAGGAATTTGACGACCACACAATCGATTTCCTAGTGGTACCCATTTATCATCAACAAAATCAAAAACCTGATAGATAAAAAAAACAAATTTCAGTTATTCAAAATTTCAAATATATTTGTATTTAACAAACATATACTTATGATATACTTTAAGTTATATTTACTATTGGTATCAAGAAATTTAATAGTGTCTTACCTGTACATAGTCTTTAGTACARTTTATACTTTGTTCCAGATTAAAACGTTCTACAAATTGCAAGCTGACCTTGTTTCCAGGTAATACTCCAATTGTCCACTCACATTCTTCGTCGTTCGGATATAAGTTTGGATAGTTTTTGGAAGATATCATACCTTTTTCGCTTAAATACATATTGCCACATCCATTTTGTGTGGATCCTAAAGTTAAACTGAATCCTTTCCTGTTATTCTTTCCAGTCTCAGATGAAAATACTATCCATAACTCATTTGAAGTAGCTACTAAATTCTGCGGCAAAATGTTACCACAATATTTACCCAACACTGGACTTTCAGGACTAGGTCCATCGTGTATTATCACATAATTATTATCACACGATGAATCAAGGTCAATATCATTGAATCGTATCTAAAAATATATTATAAATCATAATTGAAACAGATTCATGTGACATGTTTATTAAAACGTCTTAAATCTTAAAAGTCTAACAATTCAAATTTAAAATAACTATTTGAAAAATTTCAAGTTTGATTTATATACCTAATATTCACATAYTATATTTTTCGAAAAAATGAACTGGATTTTTATATTATTTTTCCTTCTATAAATTAAATATTATATTAAGCACCAAAATATCAGATACAGAAATCTAGCGTTGTCGCGTTGGACTCTGTTACGAGTAAGTTTAATAATAATTATAATTTTTTAGTAGTTTAATAGTGATCTTCTAAAATAAACTTTGTAAAGCAAATCATTTCACTCTGTTTCAATACTTACATAAACATTTTCACCATCAGGAAGTAATACTGACCAAGCACAGTTTGTAGTTTGATTATAGTTATTAGGATAATTCGGACTTGTAATGGTAATTGTTTGCCCATGTAGTACTCCACCACACATATTAATATAATAATTAAGACTCGCTGTGAAATTAACTGATTTTTTATCTGCATTTATCTAAAATATGTTAATCAAACATTATTTAAAAAAGATTTTTCATTTAATCAAGTATCATGTTTAACTTTCATTTTTAAGCTCTTACCAAAAGTTTAGACATTGGCAATGGACTTGTAATAATAAATTTATCGTTTTTATTTGAAATTGGACAATATTTTTTCAACATTATAGTTTCATCCTCTACATAAATAATATTTAATTAGTATTGTTTGTAAAATTTCTGATGGGTTTCAAAAATAAATATTATATTATATTTACCATTGGTAACTAATAATAGATAATCATAAGGACAAACAGTTTTAGTTTCGTTAATTTTGAAATCGGCTTCTATTACGATAGATCCATTTATATTAGTTAAGTCCCATCGACAATGAAGGTGATTTATATTTCTAATAGGCAACTCAATTTTACCATTGATACTAGCATCTATAACTCCTCCACAAACTATAATTAATATAGAAACAATATAATTATGTACAATATATAAATGTAACATATAATATATCGGTGTTTAATTCTAGTTATGAATGCTATTATTCTCTTTTTAAATATTTTTGGTGACCATTAAGGAACTTTAAAAGTAAAATTAACACGGTTATTTTGGAGGTCATACTTGAACTT